CCCTGTCATGGAAGACCAGAAAAAACTCAGCTTTTCATCCCCAGAACCTGTTAACTACTCTCAAGAATTGGATGTGGCTGTCAGAACCGTGCAATTGGCATGCTCTCTCTGCCAGAGAGTTCAAAATGGTTTGATTTCTAAGACCAGCGATGGGGTTCAATCCAAAGATGACAATTCCCCTGTCACCGTTGCAGGTCAGTCAATCTCTAACTCTTTCTTGTTCCTTGCTTGGTAACCCTTTTGTTGCTGCTGTTGTTGTTGTTGTTGTTGTTGTTTTTGTTTTTGTTTTTTTCTGAATTGGGTCACCAAAAATATTGGTTGGTTTTGGTTATTTGGTTGTTTGATTCAGATTTGTATGGTGTAGGCACACAGGTTCTGTGTTGCTTTAAATTGTTTGGAGACTCTGTTTTGCTTCCTTTGATCATGAATATGTTTCTTCATTTGGTTTCCTTTCTTGGGCATTTTTTATTATATTATTAAATGGAAGAAAAATTCTGCGCAGTCTTTGAATTATTGGAAGGAATGTAATTGTACACTTCTGGGTTTCCTAAAAGATAGGCTTGAAGAAATAAATTCTTATTCAATTGACCTATGACGTATTCACTTTGAATTCTTAAAGTTTGGTTCTTTTGGAAATTATGGAACTGTGGGCATAATAACGAGCCCTAAATTTCCTTTTAGTTCAAAGTGCTATTGAAATTGTATAGAAAACATTTTTATCAACTTGTGCTGCTGTTTGGTGGTTTCCTAGTGGCAACTTTAGAGCATGTTGACAAAGTAAAATGATGCTGCTAGTCCTGGTCTCCTAGAGTGCTTGAAAGATGCCTCCTTTGTGCATCAAGCATTGGTTCTAGTATTTTTTTTTCTATAATTTTTTATTATGACACCTTCACCCGTTAAGTTGCAGAATGTATGATAAAATGTTGAGCCGAACGCACAAAACTCATCTCAGAATCTGCAAAGGTCATGATATCTTAGTCCCTGTGTTATGTTATTCCTTGAATTGATTCCGCCTTTTAGAGTGTGGAATCTGTAGAAAGGCACATTTGCATTTTGGACCAAGCATAGTGGAATCAAATCTCCCAGCAGGCCCTCCACATTAAGCCCTTATCTCGCAGTCTATTCCAGCAGCTCTATGTCTTTCTTTCTACACTACCTTCAGAAACAATCTTTTATTGTCCTGTCTCAGACTCCTAGTAATCGGTGTTCGTCTGCTCCCACGTAGCTTTCTGATTGAGGAAAGCATTGCCTAATTTTCTTTTTACATTAGGCATCTCTACAATTTGGAGTAGTTTAGCTTTCAGCAGTCAAAAGAAGGGTTCCAGAAAAAGCTGGAATATTTGGTACCATCATCGTACGAACTATACCAGTTTATAGTTCTGAGCATTTCTCTAGCGGTAGCTTACAATATAGCACCCTGTTTAATACTGAGTTTTGAACTTGCTTATTTTTCGAATGGATTCCAATATATGACATAAGAAACTTGATACAAAAAACTGAGTGAAAAGCTGTAGCGTGCGACCAAATGACCTCATGTTATCGGAGTCTTGTCAATTTTTAATGAATAAAGCTATGAATCTAGTTTAATAGATATCCCCTCTGCTCTTTTGTTATGCAATTTGGAGTTGGATTGACTAATTTTCTTGAAATGTACCATGCAAACAGATTGGAGTGTCCAAGCAACTGTGAGCTGGATACTGTCAGAGTCTTTTGGGAGCAGTAATGTGTCCATTGTTGCTGAAGAAGATATTCAAAATCTTTCCAAGGCTAAGGCAGGTGGAGTATTAGAAACTGTGGTGAAAACAGTAAATGAATGCCTAGCTGAAGCACCTCGCTATGGACTTAACGGTCCGAAAATGGCTCTTGGGACAACAGAGGTTCTTGAAGCCATCAGTCGATGCAACTCCATTGGAGGGCCTGCTGGGAGATTTTGGGCACTCGACCCTGTTGATGGCACATTGGGTTTTGTGCGAGGTGATCAATATGCTATAGCTCTGGCATTAATAGAGGATGGAGAAGTTGTGCTTGGAGTTCTTGGCTGTCCTAATTACCCAATGAGGAAGGAATGGCTCAACTATCATCACCGTTATCATAGAATTATATCTAAGTTGACCCCATCAACATCAGAATCATGGGACAAAGGTTGTGTGATTTATGCTAGAAGAGGTAGTGGGGAGGCTTGGATGCAACCACTGCTCCATGTAAATAAGAACTTAGTGTGGCCAAACTCTGCAAGACCTGTCCGAGTGTCCTCCATTGATAATCCATCATTGGCAACCTTCTGTGAACCGGTTGAGAAGGCAAATTCAAGTCATTCCTTCACAGCAGGGCTAGCTCACAGTGTCGGGCTCAGGTATCATATCTTTTGAGTTCCATTCTGTTTTCCATATATGTTACATTCTACTGATCTCATTTGGAATCTCATAGGACTTGAGCCATATCAGCTATTTCGATATAGATTAAAAGCCGTTGTTAAGTTCAAGTTGAAGCCTAGAAGTCATGTGGTAAATTAGATGCACAAGTTTTATTGTAAGAGAGATCATATTATCATGTTTTGGCTACTTGCAGGAAGCAGCCATTGCGAGTATACAGCATGGTGAAGTACGCGGCCATAGCTCGTGGGGATGCCGAGATTTTTATGAAGTTTGCAAGGGCTGGCTACAAGGAGAAGATTTGGGATCATGCAGCTGGTGTAGTTATCATACAAGAGGCTGGTGGTGTAGTTACAGATGCTGGAGGGCGTCCACTGGACTTTTCAAAGGGCATATACTTAGAAGGTCTTGATCGAGGTGTAATTGCTAGCGCTGGAGCCAACCTACATGACAAGATCATCAGGGCTGTTGATGCTAGCTGGGACTCATCTGCCCTATAACTTATAACAAAGGCTCTGCTCTGCTATGCTGTCTAACTCTCTCTCTCTGTCTAGCAACTGCTTCTTGGGCTGCAATTACGTGAAACTGCTTTCATTTATGTTGGGGCAAGGCCCATCTGGAATCCCTGTAAATTATGGAATTGAAAACCAGTTGACGTATGGATTTAAAACACCATGCAAACCCATAGACAAAGTGAAATTGGGCATTGGCATTCTGGAGGGAGCAAAATAAAAGGATGAAAAATAAGAAGCACAAAACAGAAAACAAAAAGAAAAAGGATAACGTTGAATCTTTGGCACGGTAAAATTAAATAAGGCACTCACATCTGTGAGACAGTTCTGTGACAGATGAATGCAGCTCGCAGAAGCAGAAGTAAATGACTGCTTCTGTTCAACTCTGTTTCTTCGAAAAAGATGCAATTTCAAGTTCAACGGAGAAAGAAGTTATCATACAAATCATGACTCATACGTGTTGTTATTTAATGGCAGTGGACATGAAATCTTGACTTTGTAGAAATGGAATTAATTAAGCAAGGACGGTTGCCGTATGTAGTCCTAATCAATGGATTAGCCAGCTAGCCTTAAGCCTGGGGGATGCCAAACAAACAACTTTTTTCTTTCTTTTTTCTGCCTTTTCCTTTTGGGAGTTGAGAGACATGTCTGTATGGAGTCTGAAAGTCAAATAAAATAAGCGGTCGGCCTTCCAGTTTTAATTGCTCAGCTCCTTCTGTTGACAACTTCGACAACATAGTGGTTGTCTTGTCAAGATCTAGTGGGATTTCGCCAAAGGCAATTCAGACAGAGAAATTAAAACAACTTAAAAGTATCACTCTTCAAAAGATCTCTCATCCACTGTAGTTTTGTGTGCATATCTTGCAAGCAGAGCAAAATTGAGCACAAAATATGGGTCTTCTGATCTGAAAGCTCTAAGTACTGTTCTAGTATAATTTTCCAACAAATAAAAGAATGAGTTGAATGCGACACTTCCTCCCCAAATATTACTTGTATTAAAAAAAGAAAACCGCACCAAGTTGCAACCATTGGATCACATTGAAGCTCGAAAGAAATGAAAAGTCGGGCAAAACTCATTAGGCTGTGTATAATCATCCTAAGTAAGGCACGAGGGATGTAAGTGTGGCACTAAAACAGCAGCCCTAGCTAGCTATATAACTTATAAGGTGATTGTTTGATTTGTAGCTAGCTCTTTGCGTAGAATATAACATTTGATCTCAAGTCAAGGTGCCCACTATCATTATTAATTGTGTCACCTTATTTGGGCAATCCAATCCCATCACAATATATGTACGTTCACTTGATCAGATGTGCAAATTAGGTTTGTTTTCCATTACAGGCTTGCTTGATTGATGCATATGCTCAAAGGTGGTGATGCCTGCTTTTTCCTTCCAAATGCAGAGACTTGATATTTTGCATGTGCCCATGACTTGAGAATCACCGTCCTCTTTAAATGAATTGCAGATTGGAAGTTAGCCACATTTATTCAGTGTTTTATGATATTGCTGTGAGTCCTGTGAATAGCCAATTCTAACTCTCTCTTCTCTTCTGCTCATCTCTCTGCACATCCCATAAATATCTTCAAGGTTTCATTCAAAAATTAGATACGTAATTGTATTCAACAAGTAACATCTCAAAACTAACATCAAAGCTAATAATAACTACTAAATTGATATCATCACATCAAATATCGACAATCTACTATGTACACTCGTTTCTAAAATGTAAAAATTGATTAACTGCACGTGGGTTCCCTCAGAACTGTTGATATCAGTTAATGCATAGACCAAACTTCATGTGTCAACTTATTACACAATATATAATACAAAAGGAATTTGAGAAAAACTAAAATATACCGAGATACTATTTATTGTGGCGTTGTTCCAAGCCAATCACTCGTTGTTATGTGTTTTAACTTTCTGATATGACAATGCAACTTTTTGACATGGCAATGCATGATAGGCTTAGAATACTGTCATGATTACATCCCAATTCAAATTTGGATATATAATATATGTCAAATAAAAGAAACAAAAAAATGAGGATAATAAATGCACCCGACCTACTCACATTCATAGAGGGCCTTGCAAACTGTCCTCCAACACCATCTCTATTAAATGTGCCTTTTCTTCCTCATCACCACCACTACCACTACCACTAGTACCACCACTAGCAAGGAAGGAAGGATATGTCCCCCACTCCACTTGTATATATTCATTGCCAGTTCACAAACACTCCTTTCTCAATTCTCAATTCTCATCACACTCTCTCCCCACCAACTCCCAAAAAAGGCAAAAGCAAAAGCAAAATCCAAACGAAAAAATGATCCCAATATCAAGTCTCTTCTTAGCCACTCTGCTCCTCACTGCTTCACTTGTTATCTCAGCCCGACCCGAATCCAGTTTCTCAGCTGAACTCAAGCACTCAAATGACAAACCCATCAACCAGAACAACAAAAACAACAAGAAGGGTGGTGGTAATGGTGGTAATGGTGGTAATGATGGCAGTGGTGGTAATGGTGGTAATGATGGTAGTGGTGGCATGGGCGGGTTCTTTGGACCCGGCTTCGACATACCCGGGTTTGGAAAGGGCTTTGGCAGCAGTGTGGGTGGCGGGTATGGAGGCGGATATGGGGGTCCAAATGGAGGGTACTCCAAGGGTGGTACTGTGAGGACTTCTCTGGTGTGTAAAGAAAAGGGTCCATGCTACAAGAAGAAGCTGACGTGCCCTGCTAAGTGCTTCACCTCCTACAGTCGATCAGGAAAGGGGTACGGTGGCGGCGGCGGTGGCGGTGGGTGCACCATTGATTGCAAGAAGAAGTGTAGTGCTTATTGCTAGAGGAAAATAGGGTGGTGTTCCTGTTATGCCCTCCTACAGTCGATCAGGAAAGGGGTAGGGTGGCGGCGGCGGTGGCGGTGGGTGCACCATTGATTGCAAGAAGAAGTGTAGTGCTTATTGCTAGAGGAAAATAGGGTGGTGTTCCTGTTATGCTGCTGCAGCCGGCAGCCGGCAGCCGGTAATATTTATATATATAGTTTGCTATAATTATAGTATGTATAAGCATCTGATGTAATATGATGAAGTTTTTAAGTAGTAGACCATATTATATATATCCTATGAGACTATTTAATCTTCTTTTTAGCAAGTTTCTACTACTTCTTCGAGTGGTTTAAGAGTATTTGTTTGTTTTCTTTTTTGGGTGCTAAGCTTTGCCGGTGGTATTTAAAGCTTTTTGTGATTGTGTTGAAACTTGAAATCTAAAGTCTTATGCGATATGATTTTGCTTTATTTAAGGGTGATGATGCCTCTATGCTCCAGAGTCTATCAAATTTGGACCACACCACACATCTGAACAAAACTTCATTCAAGTTGATACTTATTCTTGATTCTTTTGACAAAGACAAGATATCCTTTCATTTAGCATATGTTGCTTTCTTAATTAATATTATAATCTAGGGTAATGCTAGGCTTATCACATTTTTTCGTACCACATTCATACCACCTCTCTAATAGAGGTGGAGCCCACCAATACAATTGGACCCACCTCTATTAGAGAGGTGGTATGAATGTGGTATGGAAAATGTGATAAGCCTAGCATTTTCCTATAGTCTATCGTTGATCTGTTTAATAATGTATTTCGAGGAGGAAAAAGAGTTTGAATGGTTACAAAATTTTAAAATTTTATGCTTGATTCCCAGGAGTTGAAAGAAGCAGGAATTGAAAAATCAGCCTTTTCATATCTATTTATACGTTATCCCTTCACTCAATATGCAAATCAGGGCTCAGGTTACAGTAACAAACATAGCCCTGAGAGACATATTTCCAAAAATTAGGCAAAAAAATGATGGAATTAACAGGATCTTTAGAAATTGCAAAATGAAGAGAACATGTTTTTTTTTTCTAGCAAGCCTCCTAATGAGTCTCCAGTATAGAAACAGAGGTAGCACTTAAATCAATCAATCTCTATGAAACAAGCGTAAAGGAGAAGGAACAAATAAAAAATAAAGGCTCAAACAAAACATCTGTGTATCCGCAAATCCTGCAACTAAGGGCATATACAACCTATATCAATACAGAAGTCTCCCATCTTTTCTTCTCCGTACAAGCTTTTAGCTTCAAAGCGCTGCCCTCACAACTCCTCTTGCTCCTTCACGCCTCATTTCAGCCGCTTTACCGCTTCCCCGGAAGTACATGTACACTTGCTGCACATGCAAAGGAAAAAAAAAGCGTTATAGAGGACCAAAGAATAAGTGCTACAACAGCACCCAACACGTTGCTTATCTTTTTGTGAGAATCTGGCAACGAGAATTGGATATTGGAATTAGACCTGAATAACCCAGATGCTAAGCAATGATTCAAGACAGAACATTCCAAATCCAATGAAGTAGAAGATCTATAAACAATGAAAAAATAATTAGTATCCTCAAAGGAAAAGAAGCATCTGAATGTGCTCCACGCGCGTGGGTGGGCGGTCATCCAAAATGTTCGGAAAAATATTGACTTCAGGACCAGCATTCTTACCCCAACCAAAGCATGGTTTCCCACAACATCAACTGCAGCCAGAATGCCACTGTTCCAAAGGAACACAACAGGAAATCATAAGCAGCAAACAAAGGGAAAAAGGTTTTCACTTATAAAGAATGTTGAAGTGCATTCCTAATTTAAAAGAGGGCATACGTGAGAGATTTTCCTTTGAAAATTAGTGGAGGAGCAACAGCAGCAAAGATGCAGAAGCCAATGTGGAGCTGTAGGAAGAAGAAAATAGATTATGAGTGATAGTTATGCTGAGTTTCTGAAATGAATTGCATGCCTACTACCCAACTTACCAAATAAAACATGAAAAACCATCCATACTTCAAAGCACTCTCGGACCTGCAAAAAGATTGAATGAGAATACAAATCAATTTCACAAGTAAAAATCCAGGAGCTAAAACATCAGTCCACATTCTTGAAACAATTACATAATACATTAGCACTAATGTCAGAACAGAGGTTAACAACTTGGAAGTTGCAGCAACTGAACCAGATTAATTCCTCATAACCATCATCACATGCTATCATATTACTAAAATCCAATAAAATTTCTCCCCTTTCACTGAATTGTTCTTTGTTGCTTCATTATAGTCTCACATGGGTTCAAGCTTCAGAGGGTTTCTTTTTGGCTTATAAACAAGAGGAATCACAAAAATAGGACTTCGGAAAGGCTAAAAAATGAAGAAGAAGAAAAAATATATATCAACGACCAATTTTAGAAAAAATGGGCAATATATACCTGAAAACTCGGTACAGTGGCCGGTACCACAAGACATAGGATCCAGGAGCCCCTGCTATGAAGTAGATAACAGCAAGGAACCAGATTTTTACCCCTACACAAAAATAAAAAAATGTTCAAATTCACCAAACTTGAACAGAGGATCCAAAATAAATACTTGATCATGTGCAGAACAGGTGCACAGTATAATTTCACTCACCTTCACCCTTAATCCACGCTGTAGTAACAGCTATTATATTCCAGAAAAGGCAAAGAACAATTCCTGCATAACATCACCATTCATCACCAAAATCTAGAGAGTCCCTGATGAACTTTTAGTTTAAAAGTTAAGGATACTTAAAAAATAAAAAATAAAAGAACAGCTCACACAGCCTATCTCACAATCAAATCATGATGGCATGATGAAGTAATGCTAAGAAACAGATGATTAGACACTACAGCCACTAGGTAAATAAGTCATCTTTCAAGAGCATGCAATGGTATATGTAGAAACTAAACCCAACTGCTATACTTATGATTGTTATAAGTTTTGGGCTTTCATCAAATTTTCAGGCCTAACACCATAGTACAAGGTCAACCACCAATAACAACGATTTCCGCCCAAGGAAACAAAATGCCACACACAAATACAATTCTTTTACATTAAATTTGCAATTATAATTGTGATTATAGTTAACACATAATCATAACATCCATAAAATTAAATGATTGGCATACCTAACCATGTTGTAAACGCAACATACTGCACCCTTTGTAAGTGAATCGGTATTTCATTTGCAATATCATGATGGATAATTGGGAAGAAAGCTGGCCAATTTTTTTCCTCAAGAACAATTCCAGCTGCAAAACAAAAGGGAGCATGGAAAAACTATAGTTGATAAACTTTCAAAGGACATCAAACTTGTAAGTGTTTATACAGCATTTGGAACACAATACTTTAACCCCCCAAAAATGAGGAGGAGAGGAAAGCCAGTACAACCAAAAGGCAAGGCAAAATACCACGTGCTGCAGCATCTTCTTTCCGTTTTACTATCTGCGCAATAATAAATTAAAAAACAGTTCAGACCAAAAATTAATTAATTAATTAAAAAACAGTTAAAATTTGTATGGATGAATGATCAACTATAACAGGAAGTTAATTGAAACATAAGTTAATAAAGTAAAAGTCAACAAGAGAAGAATGAAACAGAACTGCTCTGAAAATATTCAAAGAAAAACCTCATAAGCCAGTCCCTTAAATCCATCCCAGAAAATTGTCCCCTTAAACACCCTTCCTACTCCTCCCTAACCAGACACCAAGAAAATGCATAATGGTAACAGCCCTTTCAACAAGTCCCTTACACCTTGTAACAGGACAGCCATGTCATCCTATGAGCATATCTATAACCATACCGGATTCCACCACAGAACACCAAATTTGGAGAGAACGAATTGCCACACTTTTTGTTTTTTTTTATAGAAAAAGGCATTAATGAAAATCAGCACTATCTTTTTAAGTAAAAATGCAATTCACATGCGCATGACATTTTATCACTGACCTCACCCCCTGCCTCTCTTTATGGGGTAGGATTGTACTCCAGGAAATACAAGCGGTACAATCCAACCCAGAAAGGTCACTTTCACACTTTTTAATTTGAGAATATTTTCAGCCTCGTATTGATGACCAGGTTGACAACAACATACTAATTAAGTACATAGCCCAGTAAGAGAAAATTTCACACATTCAGAATTTATAGTTTCTTTCAAGTCATACCTCCTCCCGCTTTCTCAATTCAGCTTCTTTAGCTTGGAGCTCCCTCTCCCTCTTTTTCAGATCCTAGATTCAAAAGAAAGAAAAAACTAAAATTAATATTTAAAAAATAGGTCAATTTCAATTGACTATATAACAAGTTGAATTCAAACTTACTGCATTTCCATCGATAGGTATATCAACGGTGTCACCAAGGCCATAATTGAAACCAGCACGCTCAGGAGGAAGAGGTGAAAGTCTTGAGTTTTTGGCAGGAGCAACACTTCCAGGATTCTGATCAATTTGTAGCACATATGCATGAGAGCTCAAACAGTAGGTGATATAAGCCAGTATATTTCCTCAGTTTCTTTTACATACAAAGCCATGATTACCATTTCCGAAGGAAACAGAGAAACACATCATTTAAGAACCCAAGTAATGAACTCAATGTTCCCTGTTAATAAAACCCTCCATTCTCTACTGTCAATGTACTCCACAGATACAACTACATGTCTAGATGTACTTTAAAAAATAATTGGATAGTTTTAGAAGCTCTGAATTTTGGGAACTTCATAGGTACCCCTTCCATCCACGATTTGATTGTAATCCAAAATCTGTTCTGGGGGTGTCAGAAATTAGAACAACTACTTGTGAACGGAGACATTCAAGTATGATCCATTTTCCTTAACTGGGTTACATGAATCTACATCCTTTTTTACAGTGCAATGTCGTATCTAAAGTTGAACATTTTTGTCCTTTTAGAGTCAAACCTTAAGTTAAGAGTCCACACCAAAATCATTTTCTACAAGCAAAAAACAACGTCTAAGGAAGACAGTTTTTAAACCCTATATGTGCAAGGGACTGAGCACTGTGTCTGGAATCCCATTCCGACCATATCCAACAAGATTTTGGCTGGTATTAAAAACCACACAATCTACCACCAACGCCAACTCAAAATCGAGAAAGTAAAAAAGAAGTTGCAGAGCTGGATTTAGATAAGGTTACTTGTATATATGGATTTCGATCATAATTTCTAGAGCAAACTGCTATAATAAAAATTCAACAAGACAATAAAGCTCCAGAAAAGTTGCGCAGTTGGAGAAAAGTCGATCGATTTACTTTAATTTCACAACGAAACCCAAACACACAAAAAACCATAGATCTTAAAATCTACTAAAACACATCCAAAACCCAGCAAGTCAACGACCTTACTAAATCAGATTCACCAAATTAAAAAACCCAATTCGAATTCATTTCAATAGAAACAGTAGGAAAATGATTGGCAAAGAAACTTACAGAGAAGGGATTGACTTCATCTTCTTCAGCAAAAGGGTTACTATCGTATCGACCAGCCATGGAAGAGAGATAGATGAGATTTGAGTGCCGAGGACCAGTCTCAGAACTTGGAGGCAAATTGTCTTAAGAGATCTGAGACTACAAGCAGAAAATGAAAAGAAAAAGCTTGTAGGCGAAGAAATAGAATTGAAGGAGAAAAATTATTTTCAGGCACAAAAGTAAAAAAAACTGAGGAGATTAATGGAATTTCTAGAGAGAGAAAATTAGTAAACGGTTCCTGTCATTAAATATTTTTCTAGATAGAGAAAGCGGAGGACTCGTCTACTCTTTTGTCAGCTTTCGACAACGAAGGCGGCTTTTTATTTTGATTTTCATGTTTCTGGGTCTAAAAAATAAATTTCCTTTTTTGGGTTTTCATTTTTAATTTTTTATATAATACCAAAAATGAAGAAGAAAAACTCAAAAATAATTTGAATGCGTAAGTTGAAAAGTTGGTCAATTAATCCACATGCTGCTGTCCTGTTAGCTGTTGCTTTGGTTGTAACAAAAATTCGTTGTTAATTTTTTATGGTTTTTTGTCCATAATATTGGTGCAAGCGTCCAATAACATGGTCAGCTAATTAATCTTTTTTTTTTTTGGTTTATTCTCGAATACAAATGATAGTTTGAACTATAAGAAAGATTTCTCATACACACATACAATTATGATCCGTGATCAAGTAATCTTGAATTAGGATTTTTTAATCTTCTTATTTATGATCTCATCTACAATGAAGTCCGCTGTTTTCCTCTGTTTTCATTTGCAAACAGCAGCATTTACATAACACTGAAAAAAATATTGTTTAACCAAGGTGGTTGCTGTGAGTGGTTAGGCACTCTCATTCCTTAAGAGAGGTCAAGGGTTCGATCCTTGCTCTCATACGGAGCCACCACTTTTGCCAACACTTTACTTCTTACGGGCCGATCCGGTGTGAGTGGGGATTAGTCTGGATTGTGGTTAAGGCTTAAAGGTGCCACCCATAGTTGGGGCCCATCCAGAACCACCTCATGGTTCAGACCCAAAAAAAAAAAAAAATTGTTTTTATACAATAAAATGAAAAATCCTACCCATTAGCAACACTCAACCCAAAACTAGAAAATTCATTTCAGAATGATTATTATTTATTTTAATAGAGTAGCAAGCACCAGCTGTAAAGACTTGAGTTGATTATATTACGCAGCACGCGCTATTGATGTGCTTCTAGAGGGATTATTTTTCTTTTGTGTTTAATATTCAACTCATAAATATTAGCCCCATGTCAGCTGCTTCTTTTCTTTTCACACCCCTCAGCTTTTGTGTTTTGCAGTCATGCTAGGCTAGCTGTGATACTGAATTGATTAAGTATGGTCAGAGATGAGACCTCATGAAAGGAGAAGAAAATGCCTATAAATTAATTCATCCAGAAAATGGACAGAATTTGCTGTTTATATTGTCCCTGCCATCTTCCTCAAAGTCACTCTTGGTTTTTTCAACAATGCATGGGAGACCAGTATACCAGCTATTATCTTACACCAAAAGCTAAATAGCTTGTATAAACCGAGAAAAATTAAAGGGAGTAAGCGGCCGGAACAAGATACATGGGAAATGGGGCTAAATTTGAATTGCAGGTAACAAAATTAATGAATATCCAAATAATGAATTAATTATGTGTTCAAAAAAGGCTACACAAACTATTGGTATAGATGGAGACTGCCTGTAAATGAATCTGCACTAACATTTTAAACCACCCCCGTTAGGATTAACTTAAGAGCTCAAATGGGTGTTTCGTTTGCGCTGTTTCCGGCGTCTTATGCTACTTTTAAATGGATCGGTCCAGTTCATGTCCTCATCTACAGCATTATTCCATCGCTCTTTGAAGATTGAAAACTCCCGCGTTGATTGCCTCCTAATCTGCAAAGTCCATATGCAATGTAAAACAAATACGTCTATCGAGTCACCGGAGATTATTACTTTTCGCCATTTCAGATTATACAATTGAATATTTATACACATAATGGAAAGCAGGCTACAGATACATTATTCTCACCTCAGTTCGCACATCAAAACCTGAAGCACCACGTTTCTGCATATCATAGAATGAAAGTTAACAAGATGATATTTAGACTGCTTGTAGCTGTCGAATTTTTGATTAAAAAAAATAAAAAGTAAAAAAGATTTCTAACGCTTATAGTGAAGTTTACCTTGCTTGTCTTCTTCCCACGATTGGAAACCTGCAAATAGAGAGAGAGTTGAGAAATTTTTATAGTCCAAGAAAAAGGGAGAAAAAAAGACTGAGCTGTTAAGATGAATGTGCAGGAGATTGTAAAGGGCTAATCTGAAAACAATCCCACCATCAAGATAATTGTTCATTTATGGTTTAACACCAGTAAACATATAGTTCGAATAATAGCCCACCACTTGCAAACACTAGCAAGCATCAAGCAAAAGCATAAAAGCTTTCTTGCAGCCAAGGAAGAGGCAGAGAGCAACTAACCTTTCTTGCAGACAAACCACCATCTCCCAAAGTTTGTATGCCCTTATGAACAACATATTCACTATCAACAACTCCCACCTTCGTCGTACGGTCTCCCTGCAAAATGTGGCATTTTACTTATGGCGACTGCTAAATGTTACATAAACTCACATGGAACTGTTGATTTGATATAATCAATAATCAAGCAAAGATAAGAAACTGAAGCAATTTCGGGGAACCAAACCCCTCAGTGCAGAAAATCTCATAAAAAGAGTAACTGAATGAGGAAATTGATTCTAAACCTTACCCAAGAAATAGGAAAGTAGGTTTTACCTGTGCACAATATCCAAGTTTCATGTCCAGACCCCATCCATGTACAAGATCATTCTGAACAAAAATAAAGCAGCTCTGTGAATAACTTAACAAAGATATTTTCAAAATTGTATTTGACATGGTAGTGGTGCTCAAATTTTATAAGAGATAAGCACTCCAAAAATTTTGAAAATTGAAAGCAAGGGGATGATCCTCCTCTTATCAGCGAGAAAAGATTCCAGCACAAAGAAAGAAATCCATGGCAACAAATACCAAAAATAATAAATAATATTTCAAAAAAGTTTGTTGGGGTTATAGTGGAGTTGAACAGACCAAGGTAAAAAAGGGATACCTGTATAAGATGCCAAGTACAATGCCAGGCAGCTCTTGAAAAAACCGGAGCCATACCTTCCACAAACCTGCATTTTTCAATTTAAAAGGCTAAATAACCATTCCACAGTCCATTAGAGAAAATTATAGACTATATCCTAAAAGAAGACATTAATATCCAGATAACCAATGTTAGATGTATATCACTTAAGAACGCTATTATAGCGATTCATCAACTTGTGTGCCCATTCAGTCTCTAATAAGAGAAGATAGTGTAACACTATCAAATAATTGTTAAGCCACACCCTAACAATCAATTTATCAGATTTTTAGGAGGTACAAACCATAAAATTTATTATGATATCAGAGGAGGAGATCCTAAATACAAATCCTTATATCCACAACCTCCCAAAATAAGTTGAATTACACATAGTGAGACCTACTGGTGGAGCGAGGTCCAAACATACATGAAAATGTCAGAATATAACAAATGTGTCAGCTCCCATCTTTACAGATTAGATTTTTAGAAACAGTGGTAAACCAAGAAAACATATCAGGTAGGTCAGATATCATAATTACTCATCACATAGATAAAAGCATTCAACAGATTCTTTACACTTAGAAGAAATAGCTATATCTATTGTACCAGTATGACAACTCACCCAGTGCATGGTGGTGTCTGACTTGCTTCTGTACACTTCACACTGCCTCTGACGTCATAAACTCTTCTGCAAAGAGTGAAAATTTTGTTTGAGTATAACAAATATTCAGAAAAATAAATAGAGTTTATGATACAGTGGTTTAGACCATGCTATTCACCTATGGAACTTCTTTTTTCTAGCACGAATTGTAATTCTATGATGTATATCTGTTGAATTTGGATGCAAAGCTGGCTGAGATATCTCCAGTCCTGCTTCTCTAACAATTTCAAGGTATCTGGGAAAGAAAATCCAAAATTTAAATTATACGCAATGAAGAGCATATATGGTCCAGATAAAAACACACAAATAAAATCAATATGCTACCTATGGAACCGAGTTAATATATTCAGAGGCAAAGAGAAGTAGAGTGTGCCTTGCATAAATTGTCCTAGACACCCATTAATATTACCTTCCTGGATGAAAATTCTCAACCCCCAAATCTTCATCCCAAAGAAACACGTAATCATAAATGGACACAATATCTGGATGTAGAAAGCGTTTGGCAAACCACCTGAAAATAAACCATAAAAAAGTTAGAAAGACGAGAAATGAGAAACGAAACAAAAATCAAGGAACATCAATAGTAGGGAACCGCCCTTTGATAAATGCAACTGTGAGATACAATGAGTTCATTGCATGCAGTACATCCATAGTTAACGCATTCAAGTAGATGCTGAACTCTTGGAATAATTTAATATATAAAAAAGGCCATTTTTTCAGTGGACTCAAGCCAGATAATTGCAGAGAATCATGAAGGCAACTACTAACTTACCACTTTGTTTGGTTCTGGGCAACTATGTGTATGGCATCGCTACTCCACTCAAGATCCCACCACCCATCAACATTCCCATCATAATGGAATAGAATGATGGTAAAGTTTTCTGGAAGAAACTGAAATCGATAAAATTAGGACAAGTGTCACTTGATGTCACTTTGAACATAACAGCAGAAAAATGTATTACTTACCTTTTCCACAATAGCATCAACACTATCCTTTTGCTTAATACCAACCGGAATAGCCAGCAAGTTACGATGGCTATAATGATCGACCTGAATCAGAATAACCACCCCAAATCACAAAAAATATATATGTCAACATCAACACCATCAACACAGTTATCATAATTAACGAACTTTGGTTTACCCCTCACAGTACCAATAATCTAGCAATCATCCATAATTTTTTATTACTGAGGACAAGTAGGCATGCAAGAAAGAACCTTAAAAATTATGTTAAGCACAAAACGATCAAAATCTTACCTTTAACCTTGACCCACTTGTCAACCATAAAGGCCTTAGCTCTAAATCTGACCTAGCTTGTATGATGCCACGAGGTAAACTGTCCAACTTTTTGGAAGTCACAAAAATATCCTAGAGGCAAGTAACAGAAGAAATTTAGAATATAATGAAGGTAAGAAACATACATCCACATTGGATCATCCAATCATGCAAGAATCGTAAATCAGGCTGGTAACTTCAGTAATTTATATACCAATGAAGAACAGCTACAGAAGACTTACTTAAAGGTGTTATGAAACACCGATTAAGCAAGGTAAGAAAACATTAACTTGGCAACATGGCAACAAGGATCTAAGCAGTTACCTTTACTGTGTCAAAGGGATTCCATTTTGCGTCCATCTAATAAATGAGAGGAGAAAAGAACAATCAGTAGACTGAACGCCAGGGCAACAAAAACAGTAATTTGAAGAATATCATATAAATCAATAGTAATGCTCCTATGTTACTTTGGGTTTCTCTAAAACCAGTGTAAACTTATTTAAATCGGCCAATCAAATGCAGTAAAATTGTTGATATATTCTTGTGTACGATGGTGTCAACAGATTCCAAATGGATTGCCAGAAGGTCATCAAGAGAATATCCTGCCAATCTTGGTTGATCCTTATAAAGGATGAGTGACAAGTTCAGATGAACAGAAGGGGTACCTCTGTCTGCTGATAAGCTTGATATTGGTAGTTGGTGGTTCTATACACAATGAACAGCATTACTGTACATACAACTCCCATAAACGACAGCTGCTTCATCTTCAATCCGCATTTTCCCTGCACCAGCGTTATACATTATAGGAACACTTGATTTAAAAAACAATAACTCCAAAATATCACTCAATAGCAAAACCTTTTGGCATCATTTGAACTTAATACAACAATAAATAAAACAAGGTATTAAGATTGTGGATCATACTCCATCAGAGAACGCATTCCTTTTCTTGAACACCCATATCCATGAGTTTGGCGACTTCATAGACAACCAAGTCTTCTATTTTATTTTCATAACAATAACAAGCTGCAATACACGCACATTAAACAGAGACCAATATTAGTTGTGATTCCAACCAAATGCTACCCAGAATACACTATTTTTTAAGAAGTAATTCCACAAATTTGCCAAAATCCAAGTTTGACGGCTGATTCTATATATAATCATGCATCTTATTTCTGGATGTTTTGAGTCTACGAAAAGGGGTAAGCCAGGGAGGGATTGAATTTCTATTGAAGTAAGTGGGATTGTCTTAAAAGGACTCCAAAGATCAATACTACAACAAGGGGCTTCCATATGTAATCTGAGCAACAGAGACTTCCTTCAGATTTTCAATGTAAATACTAAATCTATAAATAAATAAGTACACTTGCAGAACCGACCAAACTTTAAAGAAATTACTAATTAAATACTACATAAGACTACCCACCCTGAACACAAACAGATAAAAAAAAAAAAATTGTGTTATTTTTTCAAATTTACCATCAAGGGAAAACTCTATTATACAGAAATGAATTCCTTGAGATCTTAATAAGGCAAAAATGATTTAAACCCAGATACAGCAATTTCTTTAAATTTTTTAAAAAGCGGACATCATTGAAGAATCTTGAAGCTGATCAATCACTGAAGAGAACCCAAGAGAAAACTCACCGTGAAACCAGCAAACTAAGCAGCTCCTCTGTGAATCGCCAAGAAACAGAGATTGGATGAAAGATCGGAAGCCTCCAAAAGCAAAGGCCTGGAAGAAAGAAAGTGGTATATCGATCGAGCTCCAGCTGAGGCTGTCACTAAAGTCTGAGCTGAACCCAAAAGCAATGAAGACCGTATGATTCGGTAAAACCCAGCAGAAGAAAGCAGAAGCAGAGAGAGAGAGAGCAAAGAAAGAGATTGAGCAATATAGAGAGGGAGAGAGTATTGAGGGGGGAAGAGAGAGTCGAAAGACGAAGGAGACGGAGGGGGCGGGTTTCAAGGGAGTGAGTCAGCTGCCGATGTAGTAGTGAGGGCATGCGCAGAAGAATCAGAAAACCATGGAAATGAAGAAATGATGATGAGAGAAAAATGGGTTTTTTCTTCGCTTGGTTTTGGGCTCTGATTCTCGCCGACTAGTGTCACTGTGTATCAGACACGCGAACCCTCGGATCCTCGTGTCTTGTCCTCCCTTGCTAATTTCATGTCTTTATATTATATATTGGAGAAATCTCAGACTAGACTCTCAAGTTTTTATTTTCTGTTTTTTTGTTTTTTGCTTTGTTTTATTGTTTAAAAATAATTTTAAAAATAAAAACACACAGAGAAACTGTGAAATGTCACCGTCTGGTGTATGTCCAAAATCTTGGTTACCTGATCTTTCGGGTTTGAATTTTTTTTTTTCTTTTTTTGAAAAATGGTTTTTGGAAAATTTTATAACAGCACTGCTGATATTAAAATGGAATGGAATTTATCCAGAGATTTTCTTATACAACTTTCATGTGCTGGAACAGATTTGTCCACTTAATTTCTTTTCCGATAAGGGCAAAGGATAATTTCCTTTCAAGCTAATGAATTTGGGCAGCTTGACATTCAATTTCCACACCTGTCTAAGTATTTTGGCTGACTTTTAATTATCCATTAATCACAAATTAATGGGTGATTAATGGGTTCAGGGTTAGTTACCAATGGTAGTAGAGGAGCCAAACTTCTAGAGGAGGGGGGACTAGACTAGATTAGATTCGATTAGCAAAATGCATACATTTTTTATGTGCAATCAAGGCATAATATGAATGAATATTGTTGTCTAACTTGAAGGATATATGAGGACTATTCATAATAGGTTGATGACTAAAACGTATTCCTCATAATCTCACCAATTTGAAGGGGATTAGGGGGACCTCTTATAGATAGTCTTCATTCTTCCTCTAAATTAGGCAACACATTCATATTATACCTTCAATAAACCCTAAATGTAGACATTTTTCTAGTATAGTCTAGTCTTTCCTGGTTAATAACCATCCCTAATAAAAAGTGTAACTGATTAAAATTCTAATATTTTGATGCTAGTTTCAAGCTTATACGTTTGAAATTATGGCCCTAATTATGCTAATCATTTTCTCATTATCCACTCATACAAGTCATAAAGAATACCTTCAAAAACCAAACTACACTGTCGTCAAATCCACCGACTATATTATTAAGCATTCATACAAAATCGAAAATAAGACATCGTCAATAAAGTTAATACAACAACTATCACTTGATTTGACTTACCAAAATTCACACGCGGTATTCAGTAATTTTGTATTGTAAATACATGAAAGCATGGACCCATTATGGCAAAAGTCGCTTTTGCTTTGCTTCTTGAGTTGGAGATTGTTGGGTGTCGGAAACCTTTGGCCAATTAGATTCTTCCACATACTCCCTTAAAAGCCGGACTTCCAACTAATATTTGACGACATACGAGGACGACAAATGCGAGGTGCGTTTATCAAAGTATATATCAACTCCAACTCCAGATGCTGAATAGTTAGTGAACCACCATTGATCAACCTCCCCTAGCAAATTTATTATTAATAATAATTTAAACTTTCGATTTAGAATAAATAAAATATCAATTTCCACTTAGCACCAACCTTTTCAGCCACGGTATGATTCATTTACTAATATTTTTCTCGATAATATTAAAAGGGCGATAAAAAATATTCAGTAATGCTTTCAAGGGAAAATAAAAAAAGTTTGTGTAAATCATTTTTTCTCATACCTAAATAATCGTTTGACTCTAACTTTTCCTGTCAAATGAATGGAGGAAAAAGATAAAAGTTTGATGTGGATTTTTGCTATTCGATTTTAATTTTAAAAAATTTATTTTTACCCAAAAAAAAGTATTTAGGTATCTATTAATTTGTAAATGACCCACTAGTGTAGTGGTTTAGAGTTTTTACTCCCCAGACAGTGTCCTGAATTCGAGTCCTAGCATATGTGTAATGTGTGAGAGTTTAGTATATTATCGTCTCTCTTAATATGAAAAATTCTAAAAAATATATTTATTATTTTAATTTTATTCAGGATTTGGTGAGAGATCACATCTTACTTACCAAAATCCTTTTCTTTTTCGTGTCGTTTGCCCTTATCTTTCCGTAAGGGTTAGTTTCACTGGATAGCTCTTTAGCTAAGCTTTTATCCTCTCAACATTTGTCCTTTCTAAAATGTGTAGAATAAGTCAATCATGATTAGAAATTTAGAATGTATAGAGATGCTCGTCTAATTTTCTTAACTTCTATCTTTATATTTTTATAATTGTAAGTTCATTTATACGTGGGAAATAGTAAATTTATGTATTATACGTGACAAGACGAAAAATCCAAAAACAAAAGAAGAAGAATAAGAAAAGATGATAAGCACAAGATTTTATTAGCTTTATTTTAAAAATAATCCAAAAGCTTACCCAAGTCTAAGGATTCTGTCATTTTTATGTTTATGATCATCACATCTATCATGTGACGATAGAAACGTGTCGCAGCCATCTCTTTCCAAAATTATTTTACTTGTTTAAAAGGCATTTTCGTGTTCCAAAACAATATTATTTATGCGTAGAAGAAAATGTCGTTGGCATTAATACAATACACTTTGAGTTAATTAGCATAATAATAAAATAATAAGATTAGTAACATTGTTTAAGCTCCACTACCACTACGCTTTAGTGGAGGGTGGGAATTAAATTACGGATTAAAACGCATTATAATAGATATTAAACGGCAAATTATTGTTTAAGATGACACGTATTTTGGCAGACAATAAAATATTTATACATGTATGTGGTTCGGCAGTGCATAAAAAATATATATACAATAACGAAGAAAAAAAAAAAGTTTTATTTGGCCAGCAAAAAAGAAAAGAAAAAGTTAAATGGCTGTCAACAAAATGTGTTTTGACTTTGAAGGCATCTATCGGAATTGGAGTTTATTTTATTTATTTATGAAGATCTTTTGGAGTTAATATGGATAAATAAATGCATAATCTAATTAGTTGCACTGACCAAAACAGATTAACATATTTGAAGTGCTTAGGTTAGGAGTTTTTGTCATCATTAATTAAAGAAATCAATCGGATTGGTTTATTCTTGTGTTTGGTACGTAATTAATAATCTGATATATAATATTTTTAAATATTTTTTTTAAAAACAACTAGGGAAGTTGAATTGGGATTGGGAAGTTTGTTGTGCTAGTTACGTCTGAGTTTGCTGCAAATTTATGGCAGATGACATGAAGTGTATTATGGACCCAATCAAAAACCAAAAACCAAAAACCAAAAACCAAAACAAAACGCACGAGTCAATATTTATGATTTCTGTGCGGTAGACCTGGGTTTTTGTCCCACACGTGGCACCCATGACCCATGCAATGAAAGATCGATGCATGGTTAGAAATATTGGATATGGTGGGTGACATCAATGGTCATTTGTTGGAAAGGCCACCTTCACGGCTGACGCTGTGTGTGTTTGTTCTTCTTATATCATGCAATTGGAGGAACCTGTTTGGTGTCATTTGTTGTATGTGACATTTTGCTAAAAGTTACAATGGAATTTTATATTTATATGTCTCGAATAATCGTTAATTTATATTTTGTTAAAACTTCTAATTAACTCTATAATTTAAATTTCATGAACGATAGTGTTGTTGGATAAATTTTATGAATCAGTTGGTATCATTTGGAACGTAAATGTTATGAAGCACGACTAATGATTAAAACAAACATAACAGTCCATAATTGACATTATATTATATTGTATTGCACTTTTAATCCGTTCTTCAGATGATGCTCAAATTTCAGTCAATTTCTTGACAGCTTTATATTAATTGGTTATATTTGGTGTTGCATCTAATCAGCTATAATTATAGTATATTCAGTAGCTTTAAGCATGATATCGAGTTTGGGAGAAAAAAAAAAGAAAAAAGAGAGGGTTGCTGTATCATGCATCAATGGGAAATGATAAAAGCCGCTTACTTTATTACAAGATAAGTGGGTTAGAGAGATTGAGTGGTTGCTAGTTCTGGTAAAGTAAATCTTAAGAAGCAAGCATTATGTGTGTTAATGTTTGATGAACCATCCATTTCTGAGATGGATCATTTCAGAAATTATACAATCGTAGGTGTTTGATTGATGCTTTACAAAACTACATCTTGTTATATTGGTCATACTGAGAACCAGGACCAGGGAAAAAGGAACCAGAAACGTTTGTACACAAGATCCTACAAACTCTACATCCGATTTTCTGAATCTAGAACCTGAAGCTAAACCTGGACTTTAAATGGAAAAAGGGATAGGAACAATTTACAGCTACATCTACTTTGTCCGACCTCTTTTCCTTCCCTTCACGGGAGTTACATTTTGTTGACTAACACTTCTACGTCCAACTTTTCTAGGGTGCCCGGAGGTTTTCTTCGTCACAGCAAAAGATTCAACTGATGGAGAGGAATCAGCATTAGCATGACTTGGCTTCTTACTTCTGTTTGAAGTCTTAGCAGCCACATTTCCTGCATTGGCAGCCTTTCCCGACAACCTTCTGTTACCAGCTGGGCGAGCACTCCGGGGTTTACCTGGAGGATTACACACTAATGCATTTGAGGAGAGGTTGGCAGAGGTAGCCTTGCCACTAGAATCCTTGAAATGCTGCCGCAATGTTTTGGTGGTGAGGTCTCTGAGAAGCAAAGCAGATTTGTATTCACGTGTGTTCTTCGAGTAAAACACCAAGGCATTGTTTGCAAGCAGCAAGAGATCTCGAAAGAGTTCCTTAACTGACATCACAGAGTGGTTGGAAATCCTCGATCTTATTGTGTCAAAATCCATGTGTCTATGGATCAATTTCTTATATCTTCGTCTCTTCTGTCATGAAATACGGTTGATAATTAGAGAAAGTTTGCTTCGTACATTATGCCAAATGCTTGTTTCATACATTATGTTACAGTATGCCAAAGGTCTGCTCACTGTGGATGGAATCCACAATTTCTATCTGATGAAACAAGTAATGGATATCTCTAAGTCATAAAAAAACATGCTTAAGAGGTAGCTATTTTCAAGGTATACGTGTTGAAAAGCAGAAACCAGCACAGCACAATGATCAGTTCACCAAGGTGGTGAGTTCAGTAGACCAATTGAACAGGATGTAGTTGTAAAGCATCCATACCTGGCTATCAAGTCGATGACGAAAGACAGAGGCACTTTTATGCTCCAAAAATGAATTGAAAACGTTCCACAGATGGTCAGTTTCATCCTTGGTTGAACCTCTATTACAATCACCCGCACCAGAAGAGGCAAATTCCTCACGACATTCGCTGTTTGAATTTTCTATACACCGCAAGGCAGTTACAGCATCAGGAGAATCCAAAAGGCGACTTTCTCCAATGCTGGCTTCCTTAACATCCCTACTAGTACAATCCTTCCTCTTTCTCTTACCCCGTCTCTTTCTCAGATTCCCTCCTAGTCCTACTCCTACATACAAAGTTCCTACCAACTTCTCGATGCTTGAGATTTTCTCATGCTCAGAAGAGTGTGAAGCTTCTCTTTTAGTCTCTGTTTCTTCAGTTGACTCTGTAACTGGTATCTGGCATTCAGGTGAGCAGCTTGTCAATGCTTCACACGTGAAACTGCCAGCAGATGGCTCGTCCTTAAATGCCTCTTTAACAGAAGGGTAATGTCCCTCTGATTTTTGATAACCAACAGGTGATTCTGTCTGGGTGGAGCCATAATTGTTGTAACCATCTTCTCCTTTCTCCGCCTTGAGAGTTTCAAGCTTTGATTCCAAAGATCTGTAACAGCCACATCGAATAAATCTTTAACCGAAACGCAAAGAGACAACATGGAGGACTCTGTAGACTGTAAGTTTTCTAGTCAAGGTCTTGATGGCATGTAGAATACGAAAGGATAAATGCAAGGGGAAATTGCCCAAGTGCTTGAAGGGAACTATGTCAGTTCTCTAGGAGCAGTTTGGTCTAAACACAAATCTAGAAGATGTGAAGCATTTCTGATCATTTTCTAAACATAAACATCTTGAAAAGGAAGGAAATGACTAACCCTATTGAGTCTTCAGATTTTTTGAGAGCTTGTCTCAACTCTTCCATTCGTTTCTTTCGGAGATCTTCAAACCAAGCCCTAAGGACAAAAACACAAGATTTAAAGATGAACACATACAGTCATATAACTCGTTTCATGAGTGCATGATCAGAGACACCACATAGATACATTGTTACGAAAAGTCGAAGCTAATCCATGAAAACAGAAATTAGAACTTACTTGCATACAAATCTTAAAATATTTATGCAAAACCAAAAAATGTGCACTTTACACAAAGAGCTTACTTGCATCCAGAGTATCGCTTTCGCAAGTCATTATATTTGGCTTTACACACCTGGGAACAAAACATAGATAATATGTTCATCATACTGGATGAGCAAATAATGTTATGAACAAAATATCAACCAGAATTTATATCTCCACAAAACACTTGCATCCACAAACTAATACAAGGAAAGTCTAGCTCAAGCAATAAGTAGAGCTTAACATGTCTAGCATTAGTAACTTTTTTTTTCTTTTTTTTCTTTTTTGAGGTTACAAAAAAATGCCATGCATATATACTTCTTTGACCTACCTACTTTATGGACTGATCCTGAGAGGAAAAATAAAATCAAGGCCCAAGCAAGCAACCCAACAACTTATTCATTTTTATTCCTTTTGATAACCTCGTATTAATTTATTCGCCCGGGAAGGGACCCACCCAATAAATGAAAGGCATCCTTAAAAAAGTAAACAATCATCGGATAAACAGCAGGACCTCGTAGTCCTTGACCAAAAAAAAAAAAAAAAAGACCTCGTAGACGGAGAAGGGAAACCAAGAAATCAAATGAACAATACAAAGAAATGTAAAAAAGTTATACTGCTTCAAAATGGAGACAAAAAAACTAGCAGTAAAAATATAAAATTAAGAAGAAAAAAATAAAAACCTCGGGCGTGAAAGTGTACGGACAAACGGTTCGGGCTCGGAGCTCCGCTGCCACCTGGTTCCAGTCTCGGGTTCCGTGTCTTAGGATAGCCCCGGCCAATAGAAGCTCCACCCATGTGCCCCACCTGCTACCTCCTATTACCTCCGCCCCCATCTTTACCCTCCACGTGTACTCCCCTGATCATCACCCACCACCACCGCCACCTTCTTGCCCTTTTCTTATTCTACGCAACCCCGACCCCCGGCTCACGTTAGCGTACGCCGCTACACAAACAATACATACCCAGTCACCCACCACCCCTTCCGATCATGAATGAAAAAGAGAAAATAGATGATAAAGAAAAATGAAAGAAACCCAATTGAATGGTCCGTCCAGGAATTAAAAGACCACCTTTTGGGTATTGGAAAACCGGCTCTTGGAGATGTTGGGTAGGCTTGACATGAAAGGTAGGTTTTTTTTTAAATTTTTTTGGTATTAAAGAAAGGTAGTTTTCGCAGATGGAAAAGCGGATATGGATGAGAGAGAAGGGTGGTTTTGAGAGGTTTAGGTGGTGTCGAAGGTTTTTTTGTTTTGGGTTTTTTAATTATAGTATGCGTGGGACAAGGTGTTGACGGATTCTATTTTCTATTGAGGTTGACGAAGAAAAGCCTTAAACAAACTAAAAACAAGGTATCTTAAAATGGAGGCTACGAAAAATGTGAAGAAAATGAAAAGAACAACGGGAGATTATATAACCAGAAATAATAGAGCATGTTACATGTTGGTCAAATATAAAAGGGGTTTCTCTCTCTACTCTCTCTCTACCACTGGATTGCCTTTAGCACCGTTATAATTCAGTTTTCTACATATACTTATGTTACAAAGCAACATAGGACAAAATTTCCTTATGATGGTTCAAAATTGTGTCATTTTCATAAGTCACTCTCTGTCTCTCTTCTTTCCATCTTTAAAACTAACCCCTTCACATCCCTCTTTATAATTTTCTTTTTTCATGAATGTTGTTGATAACCTACGGAATGTAGATGAAAAAGAAGTGCTAGTTTGAAGAACAAGTATATTTATATATATCATTGAAGGATAGAAATTGCAGTGTTCATGTATAGCATTACAGGTTACAAAATGAATCGAATTTACAAACAGCAACCCTTCCCACCATATCAGAGCAACAAAATCAGGAGATTCTCTCACGCAATGCCTGAAAATGATCCAACGGTAGGGGTGACTACTGTCTTCAAGCTCTTACAAGCAATTGAGAGATTTTTCTTTGAAGCTTTGCCTCGCAAAATTCTTGAGCTTTAGTATTCTATTCCGTTATTGACTAAATCCCAAAACCCATGAGGGCTTGTCAAACAAAATTGTGAGAGCCAGCCAAGCCAAAGCCTTTTGCACTTTTGGCAGACAGTATCTGTTCTTATGACTGTTGAAGAACTAGATTCAATTCCTGAGCACATCTTGCCAGCACACCACCCCTCCTACATTCAAAACAAATTAAATCATGCCCAATTCTTATGGCATTAGCAAGGACATATTTAAAAAAAAATTATTAATCTAACCTTACAAAGACTGGAAGAATTTTCTGGATCTTCTGCAGCTGGATAAAGCATTGGTTGCAGCATTGGAGCCTGTATACTCAAATTTTCAAATTGAATTTCTTTTGCAACATATGAAAAGAGAGTGAGGCAAATTTCTTAATACAAATTACCTTTGCTCTGCCTGAAGGTTGACACCAACAGCTGGAGGTGCTGAAATGGTCGAGTGTATCACTGGGCCAAAGACTGCCACTAGCTTCAATAGCATCTCCAATGACACAATTGCATGCCTGTACATTTGCAGCATATACAAAACATTTTTTGTAAGACCGCAATCAACTCCAACGAATACTTACGGGCATGGGGATTTGGGACTAAGACCCTTACCCCTGAATATAAGCACACAATATAAATTAAGCTGCGTGAGAGACTCTTATTGCTCAAGAAGATTTCACAATGACGTTTATAAATCATCAACAAAAAGGTTCCTCCAGGAATCATCTAAAAGAATAAAACTACCAAAAGTTCCTTTTGCTAAACTAGCAACACTGTGCTCCCATACGAATGAAATTGAGCTGTCCTTATTGAAAACACAAAGGACAGTATTTGTTCATGTGTTGGCACTACTATTAATAGTAGCTAGTAATTCACGTCTAAGATTTTACCAGTTCCGCTGAAATTCCAACTACTCACATCATCCATTGCTAAGATCATGAAATTTGTTTACAACCTCACTCATTAAACAATTACCTTTCAATCTTGCTATCAAGTAGGCCCAGAAGCACAGGAAGCAAACGAGAAAAGAGATCTAAAGTGAGGATATCCATTTTCTCAAGGAGAACACTAATAACATCCGCTTGTACCTGCACCATTATAAGATCATTCTTAGAAAATCCAAATATGCACAGAGAGCAACAGCGGTTTACTTGTTAGAACCACTGGAAATAGTATATGCAACACAAATGAACTCATCCAACAAATACCCACAGAATGATCTGGCAGCTTCCTGATAGCACCAATAGCACCTTTAATATCATTCCGTTCCCAAAAATGCCGCACCACCTGCAGTTACACAGAAGGGTAAGTCATGACTTCCAGCAGGGCAGCAGTGCTTGAAAGAAATATTGAAGAGGCAATTCATATATGGCCCAAACAGAAAATGAAGAAATTAAATTAATGTAATGTGGCACCTATAAATTTCCTTTTCAACCTATTATCATAAGAACAGATTTTCAATCACATTGGGTGAAGCAATTCAGATGTAATAAATATCGTGTATTAACACAGAACCCTAGATTGGAACAAATCTGAGAACAAAATATCAGGCGTCCGATGAAGTTACCTGTATTAGGTTGCACAGTCACATAAAAATTAATTTTCAGAAGAATGACAACAGATTATGTGCGAAAATTTCATGGAACAAACATGCACAGAAAGTTAATTTACCTGCAATTTTGTCAGGCGGGAACGAAGGGTACTGAGAAAAACTTCATGAGTTTGCATCAAATCTTCACTAGGACCCCCATTATTTGTAGAGGCCATATGCCTCCCAGAAATTTGAGGTCCTTCTTTCTGCTAGTTACAAACAACAAATAAAAATTATGTTTACGTTCCTTTCCAGGTTGAAAGAATAAGTGATATGTACATTGGCAAAGGCTGTGGACAAATTGTCCAGATTCCGTCTTTTTGTTTTTTTTTTTTGGGCATGTCAAATAAACCCCTTGCTCTTAAGGCCTAATCTAATAGAGATGGTAACTTTCTTCATAATGTAAGACTAGAAAAGCATTCTCTTGAGGCAGAGAAAATTTACCAGCCTGGTGGATGTTTTTTCCCTTTCAGGTATCACAGGACTAGGGTTGCTAGCTTCAACTTCAGGAATCACAGGACTAGAGATACTAGCTTCAACTTCAGGTATCACAGGACTAGAGATGCTAGCTTCAACTTCAGGTATCAGAGGACCAGATATGCTAGTTACTTGATCTTCAGGTGTCACAGGACTAGTCATGCTAGTTGCTTGGTCTTCAGGTATTACAGGACTAGTTATGCTAGTTGCTTGATCTTCGTTACGATCAAATCTCTCTCTCCTTTCAAATCTCTCAACCAGGGTGCGAGTCCTTCCTGGTACAACTGCAACTGCCAAAAAACGGAATCTTAAGAAATCCAGTGACATCCACTAATATGTTATTTAGATTTAGAATTACAAAGAAGGTAAGCAATGGCAAACCTCCATTCACAAATTTAACAGAGTTTGCCTCCTTGCTGCAATTGAGGGATCCATTTCCTGAAACATTATAGAAAATCAATAAGTACCAGCTAGAGAACATAAAAAATAAAGACTATTATTACAGAGAACAACTAAACAATGAAATATAACTACACTTCAAATTATACAAAATGGGAAATTTTGGAGAGAGAAGCAATTTCCGAAACACAATTAAGACTCCTTATATTACATTTCCTTGTTTTATCAATTTATCTATTTCTTCTAGTATGGCAGAGTGCAATAAAGAATAGAGAAACGCCCTCATAAACTTTCTCAGAAGTTGTACTAACAGCTTTGATGTTAGCAATAAACATATACTCCTAATGAAGATTGCCACATGTCTGATACTCGCATAAAACCTCAGTAGTTAAAACATTTATGATTAATAAGATCAATTATGGATCCTGTGAAGGGAATAGCACAGTGTTGCTAGTTTCGTTGGCCAATGCTTTAACTAAATGCTGTCAGGAGAACAGCATTTAGTTAAAGACACAATAGCTCGAGTAAGCAAACACAGAAGTGAATTAAGGTTTGATAAGCAAAAAGGGATGATGAACAGGTTCTCATTCAAGAGAAATCAAGGATAACATAAGTCAAATTTATAAAAAGAAAAGAAAAGGAAGAACAAGAACCAATTAAAATATATAATTTAGAATTATAAATAGACGGCTAAATAGGAGCAAAAACTTACTGGATTCCTGATTAGAGGCCTTTTTCAGCGATATAACTTTTTCAAACTTCTCTTCTACACTCTTGATCTCAGAATGATTTTCCTCGCACGACTCTCGAGCCCTATCTTCTGATACAATTTTGGTTTGACAGTTAAGATCCATTGCACTATCTAATTTACTCATCATATTGCAAAGTTTTCCAGATTCAACATCCGGTGGCAGCTCCTCGAAGTCAATTTTGCTATTTGATGCTCTTCGTGCATGAGCTGGTTTAAGCAACATACCACGTCTGGTCCTTGAAAACGCAACAGCTTCCCTTCCAGAGTTAGCTGTATCCTTTCCATCAGGACTGCTCCGAGGTACAATATTAGGCACAACCAGGGATTTATTGACTTCTTGTTCGTTAGATTTTGGATGCAACCCTACCGAAGGGCTCTGCTTTGCAGCAGTGGCTTCCTTTGAATCCAACGAGGGTACAACTCTTGGAGAAACCATTCTCTGCGAGGTAACTGGCTTTCCTCCACTAGCTTTATAGTGAACATAAAACAGAAAATAAGAGAAAGGAAAAATTGGAGTCAGAAGAAACATAAATGCACATACAAAAAGTTACAATCTGAAAAATCTAAACATATGTTTCTCTGACAGTGGGAAAATCTAGATTCCCTCATGGGTTCATGCCCACGACCTCCACATTTTTATACCATGAATGGAGAGGATCATCTCTATCTACAAAGACCAGAAACCAAAATGGTTTTCACAAGCTAATGCTCTGATCAGGATCACAAACTACTCATCTCTGGTCTCGATGTGGTTTAAGCAAAACCAGGCCAATCCTCAATGAATACGAGTAATAAAAGGTTTTCAATTTAATCAAGGTAACGATAATGTGAATAAATTCTGTTTGTACATGCATCTAAGATAATTGCCAAAACAGGATTCTCATGGAAAACTAAGAAGATGAATAAATCTAGAACTAAAAAGTCAACAACGTGCAAGCCATATCATAATCATTATGAAAAAAATAAGGATGAAAACAAAGCACCCAAATTTAAATAAAACAATTTAAACAATCAACATGAAAGGAGAAAGCTTACAATCAATGTATATGTTTTTTATGTCCTTCGTGTCATAATCAGGAGACATACACCGCAAGCCCGGACTACTTATACCACTCTCTACCTTCCCTGCGGTTTCCTGAAGTTTAACATAAGGTTTCTGAGCTGTACTGTCATTTTGCACAGGTGTAGAACCAGCTGCATATGGCTTAATAAGCTGAG